ATGGCGCGTGGGTGCACTTGCCTAGCCGTCCATGCCTTTGCCTTGCCTCGCACTTGCAACCGCATTGCACCTGCACCTGCCTCGCACTGGCGCCTCTACTCCTGTCTCCTGCCTCCTCCTGCCTCCTGTTCCTGCCCGCCAAAACACTGCGGCCCTCCCTGCTCCTCCTGCCAACTGCCAACCGCTCCTGCCCTTTCTTGCTTTTTCGGTGCGGTACAACGGTCGTTGATTGGCTCGTGGCCTCGAGAATGGTTGGTTGCTTCTTTTTGCGGGCGGGAAGGAAGGAAGGAAGAAGCACGGCCTCTGTCAACCTTCCTTCCCTCTGACTGACACTGACTTGCTGCCTGTGCCTGCCTGCCTTTGACTGTGAATGTGCATCGACCGCCGCTTGACGCATCGCCGCAAAGACAACGGATCCATTCCGCCAGACAGTCAGCAGCAACATCGACACTCTCCCAGAAACATGCTGTCTTGCGTTTTGACACTGCAAGCGCCAGCTTTTCGTGGACGCAGACATGCAGACAAACACACGGAACACGCTCTGCCTCTGCCTGCTGCCCTGCCCTGCCCTGGCCCAAAAACACTAAAACATACTCAACATTAAACGCACCAAAACACACGATGATGCAGTCAGGGCGGGCATGGGCTGGCTGGACGGCTGGACTATGAACTGAACCGTGGCCGTGGTTCTTTGCTCGTGTTTGCTTTGCGCCACTCCTTCCGAGTCCCGCGCCCGGCGCATCGTCAAACATGCAAGACACCCGAGAAAATTTCCTCGAGACTCGCCGCTTCGCATCGTCGTATCCCATCTTTTCTGGCCTGGCCCTGTGTCAATGGCCATAGCCGAGTAATCCGACTTGTCGCCAGGATTACGAGATCGATCGTCGTCCGTCTCCTCGTCCTTCATTGCGATGTGTGCCCATGGCCCGGCCTGGACTGGCTCGTCACGCCGCTCTCAGTCTCCTCCCCTTCGTCGCAGGAGCAGAGAACCCCATCGAAGCCTCCAGCACCCTCAAGCCGAGATTATCGACTTGACCCCGTCGCCCAATCATCGCCTCTCGATCCTGACAGTGGCATCATGGCGCGCCACACCACCACCACACAGTGACATTCAACGCCAGGAACAGCATCAAGACTCAACCCTCAGAAACCAGAGTGGGCTTGACCAAGGCAAAAGGGGCATCCAAAGGGAGCCAAGCCTTCTTCGACGGCACATAGTGTGAGCAGTCACCACTCGAGAAACCGCCAAACCGCCCGCGGAAACGACGATGCTACACTGCATCGTGAACCACGGCCGCTATCCTACAACAGGACGCCCGAAATTGCCTATTGGCCCGGCGAGATCAGCCCTCTGCAGACAATTATATGGGTCCTCCGACATCATGATCCATCATGGCTCCATCGTCGACAGCCTCACTCGTCGGGAACATGCGCCTGGGGACCCCTGTCCACCGCCCCGTCCTCACCCCCAGTCTCATCGTTACGAGGCTGCTGGACGCTCGCCTGTCGACTGTCGCCTGCAGGCCCGAGAACCAAGTGCTCACCCTTCGCCCAAGACCATGGCTACCACTGGCTCAGCACCTGGCACCAGACGCACCAGACGCAGAAACTCGCAGCGGCAGCTTGCTGAACACCTCACGGACCACACACACCACACGTTCGACTGACTGTCTCGACCACTGCCGCTGCTGCACCAGAATGACACACAATTATGTCCTCAGGCACCTCCACCTCGCCCTGCCAGCAAATCACCGCCTGGCCAGACCCTCCCACTTCTGCCCGTTTACCGCTCCGAGCCACACAGACGTGCAGTCTCTGGCTGCAAGAAGCATGCACTACACGCATCCAGCGCAGCTTTGCGGCGTCCATCCCGGCCTGGAGAGGCTCCCCTCCAGTCGTGATAGTGACCAGTCAGCTTCCAGCCTGGCATATCCAAGTCCACTTTCTAGCCGTACAAGTCGCCATTGGCTCGCCCGTTCAAACGGTCGTTCCTAATCTCCCAGGCCCATGTGCGACCCATGACCACGTTGGCGGCCGTCACTGGCCGGCATCGAAGCCCCGTCCAAGAGGGAAACCGAATCTTCATTGAACCCGCCTCGAGACCCACTCTGACCGAAGCCAGCGCCTCGAAAGGGGCCCCGCTGGGCCTCCCGGAGATGGACCCCAAGGCCGATGGGCTTTTCTGGAATTTGCTGAGCCTGATGAGAGTGGGAATTCACTCAGGATCCTACTGCGTAGTCACTGCAAGGAACCACTGCCAGTCAGTCGTCTTCCGTGTGTCTCTGCCTGCATTGTAACGACAACTGTGTCCTTTTGAATCCTCACTGAGCGCTGCCTCCGGTGCCTGCAACTTGCAGCAAACGACCCACGGCCGTCCATCGTTTGCCGCGCTCGTACTGAAGTCTGATGAGACAGGCCCGGCATGACCGGCCACCGCGGCCCACGGCTCTTGGGAAGGGTCCTTCACGGCCTGAAAGCTCCATATTCGGTCCAACCGCCAGCGAGCGCAGCCAGCACCGCCAGCACAGCGCAGCGTACGAATAGTTGGCTGGTATCGCCGCCAGACTTGCGCAACCAAAGCAAAAACACAACCACGGCTCTCAAGGCTAGCCAACTCTTATTGGCCGGCAGTTGCTAGTGCGGCATCACTATGAATAAGTCCAGTTTGAACAGCCACTCACAGGTGTCTCGACCACAGAAGAGCTGGTTTGCTCCTCACTAGCACTTCTGCACAAGTCCGGAAACATGCTTCATTGGCCCGTGGCTTCGCAGCAGTCATCACCACGTAACTACCGACCACTCCAACAACAGCCTCTTTTACGAAAGCATTCAAATCCGGCAGAACGGCCTTTGATTTGTAGCCTTCAGCGTGCCCAACCAATCAGCTGGGAAAGAACGATCTGCGCAAACTGCAGATGAGAGGAGCGGTGCAGCCACAGGGCCTGACGCCTGCAACCAGGTGTGCACTGGACGATGTTCGGTTGCAAACCCTGAGGCCAATCAGTGGCACCAAGGGACCCGAACGGGAAGCGATGGGCACCAAGTGAACCAAGCCAGTTGATGCCAGACTGGCCCAGCATTGATCCGTCACCAGCCTACGAAGCAGCTTCTGCAACAGAAAGGCTGCCGGCCACCGAAGCCCACACTCATCGACCCCCGGACTTTATGCAAACAACTTGCCAAGCGCCACGCAGGCTCCAACTGAGGCTACAAAACTATGGCAGTAAGCCAATCAGCCCGTGAGCAGCCTTTTGCCTGTCTGGGCATCCCAAGTCGCCTGCTCACAGCGCTGTTTGGCGGTAGTCACAGAAGCAACATGCCCTTCCCGGTACCAGCAATAACGCCCTGCCACGATGCTAGAAGCTGGGAGGCATTGATAATGTGTTTGCAACAAGCCATAGCAGATCAGCTCCATAATCCCACTGCGCGGACGACTCCTGGATCGCGTTGGAGGATTAATGTCTCATTCGATCATCATTCGACTGTTATTCCATGCCCGATTCAATCAATTCTGAGGTCGTCGCTTACTAGCGTGAGGCTTTCAGTCCTGGGCAACAACGTGAGGAGCAGATGGGCAAACTCGCCCTGCGGCCAACGACGGAAGAGCAATTCTGGGGGGAGCAAAAGCAAGCAAAAGCTGCACATCCTCTGTCACAGGGCTTACCTATCGCCCTGCCACGGCACCTATGACGCCGTGCTTAACACCGACCACCAAAGAAAAGAGAGATAGAGCAGGTGCAAAGCAGAGACCAGCATGGGCACTGGGCGATGCTCACCGTGGGATGGAAGGGAAGGGCATAGAGCAAAAGACAGTCCGTGTCCCCCCCGTCAGGGTCGTCCCATGCGTGGCTAGGAGGCTACGACTCACGCACGCCCCGTTTCCTTCGACACCCATCGCCCATCCGTTTCGTCTGACACACTCAGCCAGTAGCCGTAGCAGGGGTAGACGGAGCACGGCCGGGGGTGAGGTGTCGTCGATGAGCCTACGGGAAAGCGAGAGACTCAACAGAGCGAACGAGCGAGAGTGGGAGTGACACTCACACCACACGCCCACACACACCTCACCCCCTTCGGACGGGGCCACTTTACCTGGTGCGTCAGACAATACCTGCTCGTATATTGCGCAGAGTCGCCAATCAGCGATCCTAGTACTACCCTAGTCGACGCCCCGGCGAAGAAACTCTGCTGGTCACTCGCCCACGGCTTGTCATCTACACACCCCTCAGCCTGCACGCCCCCAAAGTCAACTCGACCCTCAGGCCTCAGGCTTTCCAACAACTCTAACCCACTGGCCCGCTGCTCACGTCGAACTCAAGAATAGATGGTGCATTAGTGGACCCACGCCCAAGACATGGCAAGATGGCTATCCCTGCTCTGTTAATGTCGACGACGACTGGGGGTCCCTTGAAGCCACCGGCCGTGGTGGATGCTCCACGCAACACACATTTGGACAAGGGTACGTAGACGTAGCGCTAACATCATTTCGCCTCGTTCCTCCATCTGGGTGGTGGAAGTCATTATCAACCATCCGTATCCCACCATCGTGCAGCTGGTAGAACACCTCTCGACCTGAACCATCGACTCTTCATCACGCTCCTTCCCGCCGACCTCTTTACATCTCCTCACGATCCTCGGGAGCACTGGTAATTTCTCAGTCGCCCATCAACTTTCGACCAATACGACTACCTCTCTCACCGACACTCAACCCTCACCAACACCTTCGGCGATACAGCACCGTGTTTGACTCGTTGACTCGACGTCTTACACTTTCGACATCTTACACGAACCAAGGACATTTCTCTCAAACCCATAAAGGCCATTAGGACATTTCCCAGGATTCTTTCCCTTTTGGACTTCCAAGGACATTCCATTCCACAGGACAAGGCCGTTTCTACTTTTCCTTTTCTCTCTATTCATCTCTGTTAGGACCTCATCCGAGAGTCCCAGCCCAGACCATCAGAGAAAAAAGGATTCCCAATTGGACCCGCACATCACATAACATGCAGCATGTATTTGGATATCCCACTCCTCCCGCGTCGCCGGTGTACGACAATACGAAGTGTGCGAACCTTCAGCCCATCACAACCGCACCTAACTGTCAAGCACGCTATGTCCCGTTAACGCCGGAGGAGAGACTGGGAAGATTCCTTGAGGGCAAGTTGCAGTTGACGACCATCCTTGGAACCGGCGCATATGGCGTCGTCTATTCTGCCGTGGATGTAAAGACCGGAGTACGATATGCCGTCAAGTGCCTCAGCAAGTTCAACCCGGATGGAACTCCTTTGGATCGTCGACAGGTTGCCTTCCAGAACCGCGAAATCCGTCTCCACTACTTGGCATCGGCCCACCCGAACGTGGTGTCTATGCTCAAGATCGTGGATGACCCGGACTGCATCTATGTTATCTTGGAATATTGCCCGGAAGGTGATCTGTTTTACAACATCACCGAGTGTGGTCAGTATGTCGGGAACGACAGCCTAGCCAAGAGCGTCTTCCTTCAGATTCTGGATGCCGTTGAGCACTGCCACTCTTTGGGAATCTACCACAGGGATTTGAAGCCGGAGAACATTCTTGTTTCAGACCACGGAGAGACCGTCAAGCTTGCCGACTTTGGCCTCGCGACCTCATCTGACCGGTCTGAGGACTATGGATGCGGCTCGACTTTCTACATGAGTCCAGGTAGGTTTACCATATGAGGAACTTTCCTTTTCTCTCAAAACCCCCAACATCGACTGACTCTTTCTTTTCTTTTCTTAGAATGCCTGGACCACTCTGCCCGGAGACCTTTCTACTTTTGCGCCCCCAATGATGTCTGGAGCCTCGGAGTCATCCTGGTCAACCTGACCTGCGGACGTAACCCATGGAAGCAAGCTTCATTCGAGGACTCTACTTACCGTGCTTACACGCGGTGCCCGGAAACCTTGAAGAGCATCCTCCCAGTGTCGGATGAACTGAACGATATCTTGGGAAGGATCTTCACCCGCAACCCGGACCACAGAATTACTTTGCCCGAGTTGAGGAACAGAATCCAGACTTGCTCCAGCTTCACGATCCCGGCCGTTCCCGTCATGCTCCCCACGCCGCCTGCTTCGCCGGAGCACACCACCGAATACGTTACTTGCGAGGACACCATCATCGATGACTACGATAACGCCCTCTCCCCTGCCTCCTCATCCTCTGACGAGGGCTCCGAATGCTCATCCGACGACGGCTCGCTTACCTCCAGCGGCTCAACCATCGACGATCTTGACGAGGAGTTCCTCCAGGAACAGCAACAGGAAACTTGCCACACCCAGACCTATGAACCAGAGGAGCCAAGGACAGCTTTTTTCCCTAACCAGGAGTTCATTTCTCAGCAGTACACCGGACCTGTACCTACGCCAGTGGCAGTACAAGTTCAGGCACATGCTCCCATGCCTCAGGTCCCTATGCAGGCACCCAGTTGCCCGCCTAAGTCTTTTGTTCCGTTCTGGTGGGGAGACGTGGTCAAGTATGCTCAGCATGCTCCTGCCATCCACCCTCATGTTCCGTTCCACCACCAGGTTCCTATCTTTGCCCACCTCCAAGGCTGCTACTAAGATAGCTCATCATACGTTGAGCCAGGCGCCTGCCTGTGCTCGTTACCATCGATCCAGGGATGGATTCACCCATACCATGCCGGATGGGTTCCTCGGATCAACAAACCGTCAACACTAATACGACAACGTTTAAACCATGGCACAAGCGGCTCATGGACTCTTAATTCCGTTACGAGATATGGACCCTTATGCCACTTGGAATTTCAAAAGCCCGGAAAGGATGCCTCACAAAAAGCCCAGCGAAAAAAAAGTCCGGAACTTTGGCTCTACTGTTTCTGCCCATGGCAACTGTACACATTTCGGAGATGGGATTTTGTTTTATCATGTTACTTTTCTTTGTTACAGCGCGGAGTTGGGATATGGAAAGACGAGAGTGACGGTCGACTCTCTTATCACGGATCAAGCTGGGAAAGCATATCAGGCGCAGTGGGCACAAAGACCTGGGAGGTTGGAGTTCTTTCTGCGAAGATAGACGGGATATTTCGATTCTAATGCATATTTTTGGTGCGAGGGAAGGCACATCGGGAGGAGTCTCTTGTTTTGTCAAGAGGCTTGTTTCGAACAATCGTTTGGAGATACCATATCTTGTCATTTTTGCTCTTGGGATTGGGGTTACAAGCAAAGGAGCTGAGATGACCAACTGGGAGGAAAAGACGACCTAGACAATACCTGGGCCAAGAACCCAAAAAGACGTTCGCGACGAAGCAATTTCGCGCAAGAACTACGTTTCCTCGAGAGGTGGTGTGGGTGAACATTTCCCATCAAGGGAATGCACCCTGCATGGAAACATGCATCTCGAGCATACACATTTTTTTTTAGGGATACAAAGAATAGCAAAAGCTTTTCCCATCCTCCCATAACCTGATTTCAAACACAATGAGTGAAAGTGTCTGCTTGGTGGTCGCATTGAATGATGAGATCAATCCTCGATATCAGAAGAGGGATGGAGAGGAAAATCAGCAAAGTTCGGGGCGGCCAGCATCTAGATCCTCTTGCGAGTGTTTACGGCCATGAGTGCAGCCTCTTTGGGGAACGTTGGTAGTCGTAGAGTTTTTGGCTTCTCTTTTTTTCTTGCGACGTGCTGCGGTCGGGCTGGGTTTCTTCCAGAACGTCTCGCATCCTTCGCTGCCGGGCGGGTTTTTAATTCTCTGACAACTCTGCGATATGGGTTGTTCCCTACTGCCTGCTCCCCCACGTTTTCTTTACGTCTCCTCCCTTCCTTGTCTCTCTCTTACTCGGAACTATCAAGAACCCCTTCCACCCCTACCCTGCCGACCCTACCCTTCACTCAGCTTTAATGGACAGCCTGGATTTCTCTCCGCGCCCGTTGCGAGGTGGACTGTGCTCTTGCACACGGAATAAAGTGCATCGCATGCCTCTTCCTTGTTCCTCATCGGGCCGGATTTTAGGGGGAGGGAAGTGAGGTATTCATTCGCCTTCTCTGTCGCACACGCATGCGCACATGCACGCAGACTTGACCACCCACTATGTTTCTTGACTAGAGTCTTGAGAGCAGAATGAGTGAGTGGGTTGGTGAGTTGGAAGGATGGGTTAGAGGCTGGAAGGGGGGGAGGGGCCGCCAGCCGTCATTCTCATTCGTCGTCACCGCAGAAGGGCCATGCAGTGAGAAGTGTGATTACGATAAGCACGGCAGAGACGGGGTTGTCACGGCAGCTTCACTTTTTTTTTTTTCTCGTTCACTTCTGCAAGTGCAGGGCGGCGGCGCAGTGCTGCTGAGACCTGTGAATAGTAAAAAGCAACCTATGGAGACCGGACTTGCTTCACGATGAAGATCGGATTGCTGGGGGACTTGTAACCACTACTACCACTACCGCCACTTTGCTACCACTGCCACTACTATTACTGCTACCTAATCATAGTGGATGATGATGGTTGGGAGAGCCGGCCAGAGACAAGGGCAGAAAAGAAGCAAGAAGGGAAGAAAAAGGCAGGGCTGTCGAAGGTTCCATCGAAGGACGGTGATTGGATGGGTGGACGAGGTGGGAAACGGTCATCGTTCGCCCTGTTTTTGGGTTCGCATCCTTGCTGTCTTTGGACAAGGAATAAAAGGGAAAAAAAGGGTGGGAGTTAGGCTCGAAGAGGGAAGGGGTGGTTTTGAGGCGGGCTGGGTTGGGTTTAGAGTGGCACGGCAGTGTTTTCCTGGGGCGGCGGGAGAAGTGCTGTTTTGGGTTTAAGGGGGGAAAAGGTAAGGGAAGGTTGATCGCTTTCTTGATTTTCTTTTGATTTTATTTAATGTTTAATGATGATCCCGACATGGATGGCACGGTGTGGGCAGGATGGATGGCACTGACACTTTTTTGGCATGTCGAGGGGGGAAAAAAGGGAACAGTAAGAAGAGAGGTTCGGGATGGCGGGATGAGGACCCCATTGGACGGCTTGGACACAGTCGGTGGTAGTGAGTGCTACGGAAGGGGGAGTAGTACGCCGAAACTCCCCTAAGCAACCAAGGTTCGGATTATTTTATTTTATGATTTAATTGCAATGGGTATGTACCGCAGTAGACCGGGTCATGTTTAGGAGGGAGCACCGTTGTCACCTCATTACGCATGCGGCACGGCGGTTCAATGAGGAAGATGGAGGGACGCCTCGGGCGCTGTGTGGCTCGAAGTGTTCAACTTGGGGTGGGATGGAGGGGCGGTGTGTGGTGGGTTGGTCTACCTTGTGCTCTTTTTTCCTACCTTGGCTTGACCATTGTGACGGGCTACGATTTTCCTTGAAGGGTAAGTTGTTTCTGGGTTGTTGGCAGTTCACTACCGCAGCTAGACTCGCGGGAAGGTAGACAGATGGTGGTTGCGAGATTTTTTGGGTTAACTGGCGGTGGTTGGATAACGGGGGTGGAATGACAGAGTCAGTATTATGCAGACTTGCAGTATGCAGATTGAAGTGTATGTGTGGTTTAGTCCTGTAATGTGTGTAGGCTGCAACCCACTTCTCTCGTAGGCTCGTCCTCCTGGCGCTCCCCCGGAGATGCATTAGGAGCATGCAAGTGTGCGTTTTCGGTCAGGGTATGTCTGGCTCGGGGAGAGCTGTGAGAGGTGCGCAGATGGATGGGGGCTGCGAAGTGTGGATGGGCATGTGGGATGCGTGTGAGTTGTTGGATCAATGCACTTTTGCCGGTTCTCCTGGTGACCTGGGAAGATGCGGTATGTTTTCTTTGGGGGTGGGCAGGAAGGAACAAATTGGAGGCCTTGCGAAATGTGCGTGTTGCTGTTGTATGGAGAACAGTAAGTGCATGTTTCGGTATGGGCTGATGAGAGAAGTGTATGGGATGACATGTTCCGTCAGTTGTACAGCATTCTGAGACGGGACTAGAGAAGAAGCGCGGCGGCGGCGCAGGGCAGACAGAACTGGGACGGGAAGCACGACTACAACTATTGGCCGCGGGCCGCGGACATGGGACATTCCAGAGGCTGAAGGTTGCCAGACAATGGTGTTGTCCTCTAAAAGGCTGGATGGATGAATGAGCGGGGAATGACCTCTTAGACAAGACAAGATGTGTCCTGAAATAGCTAGGCTGGACATGTCTGCCACGCGGATGTGTGGTGATTATGACGATGGTCGTTGGAAGGGAGGAAGACGAAGAACGGCAGATGAGGGGTTTCGCCCGAGAGGCCTTACCCACGATCGCCGGGCTGTGAGTGGTTGGGTTGGGCCATTGGCTGAGAGGGAGAAGAAGGCATCTCGCACGCTAAGAAGAGCTTGGGATGATGGCCCCCTCTGCTGCCCTGGAGCGGTGTCGACGGCGGCAGAGACGGACTTTGAGGAGGCAGGGCCCGACGGAGGGTCCGTCTGGTGGTGTGGATGGCTGCGAGTTGGGCGGCGGCGACGGCGGGGCCGGGAGTTGGCGGTGGAGAGAGAGAAAGGGCACGCGGTGCTCTCGTTGTCCTTTGCTTCTTCAATCATGGGGTTCAACGGAGGGGAAAGGTGAGTTTACCACCGGCAGAGGCTATCTGATGGTTTCTTTGGTTCTGGCGGGACCTTGCCTGGTCCCAGAGTCTACATAGTAGAGATGGGCTCCATCCCACTTTGGGTGATGCGCCAAATGCCCCCGTTTCCTACGCAAAAGGGCAACTTGATTGAGTCGCTGTGTTGTTCAAACCCGGACCCCGGATAGTTCTTGGAGCTGGCCGGCTCCTCCCCGGACGGACGACCACGAAGTTTGATGTCCAGTTGACAGCTCCGGCCAAGCTCTGGGTTTGACTTGTGATAGAGTTTGACCGCGTTTTGGGGCATGGGGCCGGGGGTTCAATCAAGCAACAACGTTCACGGTTTGCAAGCCCGCCGCATCACACGCTGCACACACAAACACTATGTGTCGATCATTCAATGTTTCGTTGGGTGGGCTGCAGTTCCTTGCCTTGCCTTGCTGCGTTGCGGCCGTTGTGGGCGCCGCCGCTGCCCTGCGCCGCATACCAGATTCAATGCGAGAGCGCATTTGCAGAATTATCGGACAATATTTTCCCTTTGGCTGAGTGGGTGGCGCGCGCATTGTTTGGATAGAGTACCTGGTTCTCTGCTGCCCGCTGTGGTACCGTGATATTCGATATGGATGCCCTTCGGCTGCAAGCAGAAATATGACAAGATGGGCGGTGAAGAGTGTGGCCCGGCCTAGACCGACTCGACGGTGCTTGGGCGATGGCTAGTAAAGGCGTGGCTTGAAGTGCTCTTGTTGGACGTGATTGGGTAAATGTCACTGGGGCGAGCCGTTTTCGAACAGGTGCATCATGCTGGGGCGTTTGTTCGGTTGTCACCTTGTCCAACTGGTCTTGCAGATAGGTAAGGTACATACAGAAACCCAAGCTCCAGCTTTGACAACTCAAGAGCCGGGGGAACCACTAGCAGCATACCGACAGACTACGCATAACAAAAAAAAAGATGGGGAATTCTTTGGATTCTGGTCCGGTCTGCGATGCATATGCGCTTGTGGTTGAAGTGGGCTGTGGAACAATAGAAACCTGTCGTCGGTAGTTGCTGGCTCG